ACACCAGTCGGCGGGACGGGCAGCTCTACGAGTACAGCGTCAGCACGGGGCCGGAGGAGAAGGTCTGGCAGATCCAGCTGGAGGTGTACGGTGAGACACGCGGCTTCAGTGGGACCGGGATGGGTGCTCCAAGCCTGTTGTGGGTGCTGGGAGTGGGTCTGGGTGCTTAGAGGTGGTTGGAAGGGTGGGAGATGCCCGCCCAGATGTGCTGCAGGGAGTCCAGGACCTTCTTGCGGCCCCATCTGGATGCCCCCAAAATCAAAGGGGTGCACGCAGACCACGTCCCTCTCCAGCGCCATTCATAGAATGGTTTTGGTTGGAAAAGACCTTTAAGATCATTGAGTCCAACCATCAAACCTGTTCACAGCAGGTCTGGGGTCAGTCCAGTTCCTCTCCATCTCCCAGGGATTTAGGAAAGGCCACCAGGATTTCCCAGGCAGGAATGGAGGTGAGGGGAAACCTTATTGCCCTCTACAACTCCCTGAAAGGAGGGCCTAGAGAGGTGGGTGTTGGTCTCTTCTCTCATGTAAACAGTGATAGGACAAGAGGAAATGGCCTCAAGTTGCGTCAGGGGAGGGTTAGATTGGATATGAGGGAAAATCTCTGGACTGAAATCAAGCACTGGAAGGGGCTGCCCAGGGCAGTGGTGGAGTCCCCATCCCTGGAGGGGTCCAAAAACCGTGTGGATGTGGCACTTGGGGACATCATTCAGTGGCCATGGTGGGGTTGGGTTGCCATTGGACTTGATCTTAGAGGCCTTTTCTAACCTGAATGATTCAACCCAACCCTTTGTCCCCTCTCTCCCTCCAGAGCCAGTGTCCGCCCCCACCATCCAGCTCCTGCACCAGGCTCTGGTCAACAGCAGCTGCGCTGTCACCCTCAACTGCACAGCGGAGCGAGGGGATGGCGTCTCCTACCACTGGAGCGGCACCTCGGAGCCCTGTGCCCATAACGGCAGCGTCCTGCGCCTCTCCTACCCCCTGCAAAACGTCAGCATCGCCTGTGCCTGCACCGCCAGCAACCCCGTCAGCCGCCGCGTTGTCGCCTACAACTTCTCCGAGTGTGGCTACGAGCGAGGGGGTGAGTCCATGGGTGCTGAGTTCATGGGTGCTGAGTCCATGGATGCTGAGTCCGTGGATGCTGACCCCTCTCCAACCTCCCCATCCTGCTCTTGCTTCTTTTTTTTGTGGCACTTTAGACAGCCTCGAATGAGCTTTTTTGGGTATTTTTTTGTCATGAGAAAGTGGCCCAGGGTTGCCCAGTCCTTCCAGTAAAACACAGGTCACACCCGGCCGCCGCTGCGCCCCGGTGCTCACAGCTCATTTTTAAAACCATGGGTGACAACTTCCCCTTCGCCGGCTCTCGGGGCGGATGGAAGTCACACCCCCTCTCGCCGGGGTTTTTTCACGCTCCCTCGTGACGTGGGGGACTTTCACTGGGGCCGGGTGCTGCGGTGGCCACCCCTTTCCTTGGGGACTTGGAGGTGAAGTCACCCCTCTGTGGCCATGACCTGCACCGAGGCCCTTGTGGGGATTTGTGCTGAGAAAATACCCCATGGAGGGGAGAAAAAACCTCTCGTTTTGGAAAGGGAGATGCTGAAATGAGATGTTTTGGGGCGTTTCAGGCTTGTTTTGAGGGATTTCAGGCTTGCTCTGAGGGATTTCAGGCTTGTTTTGGGGCATTTCAGGCTTGTTTAGAGGGATTTCAGGCTTGCTCCTCATCCCCTTGCCCCAAAACCCGTTGCATGGTGGGACATCCCTGCACGGTGTCACCACTGAGACCATTTGAATGGGGCCACCCCAGGGCCCCACTTCTCATGCACTGGGCGTTGTACCGAGTTGGCCTTCAAAAAGCCACTGGGGAGGCTTCGATCACTTTATCCGGCTCTGATCTGGCTCCCGGCGGGTTTTTCGCTGACTATCGCAAGATTCGTGAGATCGCTGCTCAAAAAAACCCCACCATTTCCTGTCCCATTTCCTGCACCCAGTCCCAAATTAGGTGCCGAGATGAAATAAGGTTTCAGCCGCCCGTTCTGTGGTCTTGGGGTGCCCCTGATCCCCTCTCCTCTCTGCCCCCCATCCCAGGCAGCGCCGGGCTGAGGACGGGGCATCTTGTGCTGCTGGTGCTTCGCCGTCGTGGTGATGCTCGCCGGGGGCATCCATTTGGCCATGCCCGGTGGTGAGTGCCGTAAGGGGGGGATGCCGAGGTGGTTGAGGGTCCACGGGTGGGATCAGCCTTTTTGGGGGGACAGAAACTGCCCCCAGCAAAGGGACCAGGGGGCTAACCCCAATGGGTGCCTCGGCTGTGGGGCACCCTGGCCCTTTTGAAGCACAGAGCGAGAGGCAGGAAGGAAACCAGCTTAAAAAAAAAACAAAACCCAAAAAACCAAACCCAACATAACCCTGTACCTGCGTCTGATCTCCGTCAATTCACTCGGGGGATGCGTTGCTGAGATCGTATCTCGCGGTCTCAAGATCTGGCTGATCCCAGCCGAAATTTGAGCGAGCATCACCTCCCCGAGTGCCTCAGCTGGGCTGTGCCCCACTTCCCATTCCTTATTTCAGTGATAAATTCACAAAACTGACCCACGGTGGCCCAAAAATCCTCGGAGCACGGCCGGGCAGCTGCAGCGATGGGGATGCAGCAGGGTCCTGCCAGTGGAGCCTGGGCTCAGCTTTTGGGATGCGGGATCAGGATGGGGCTTGCAAAAACGGGGTCCCCCCGCTCCCCGTTCCCTTCTGATTCGCTTCGTTCCCCCGCAGCCGGCCGGGAACGGGACCGGGAGCGCTCGCCGCTTGCCGAGGACAACGCGGTGCACACCATCTACTCCAAAGTGCAGCGGGTGGAGGTGAGACACGGCCCGTACGCCTCATCCCTGGGGAAAAAACCGCCCTTTTTGGGATGGAAACGCTCCTTTAGGGATGGAAAACACCCCTTTAGGAATGAAAACGCTCCTTTAGGGATGGAAACGCCCTTTTAGGGATGGAAATGCTCCTTTAGAGATGGAAATGCTCCTTTAGGGATGGAAATGGTCCTTTAAGGATGGGACTCCCAGCACGGCAGCCAAGAGGAGGCAGGGGAACAACCGTGCCAGGGTTTCTGAGGTTTTGGGGGTCTTGGGCAGCTGCACCCCAAGCCCTTTTCGCTGGTGGGTGCCCCCGGTCCGTGGCACCCTCGGTGCTGGGTTTTGGTCTTGGGGTCAGCTCAGCCCCGCGGCTGGTGGGAAGGGGGTGAAATTGTGGCCATGGGGGACCGAGGTGGCCATGGGCTCCCCGGGGGCACCTATCGCTGCCTGGCCTCTGTTAATCTGAGAATAAAATTGGGTGCTGCCACTTGTCAGCATCCCAGGATAGTTTTGGGGACAAATTGGGCATTTTCCCCCCTCTTTCTGCGTCCCGTTTAGTGCAAACTTGGCGGAAACGGTGGGTCCATGGGGGTGGAGAGAGGGAAGCCCCCTCCGGGCACTGCTCATCCTTCGTTTTCCACGCAGAAGCCAAAATTGGCCCCCGCTGCCGAGGTCTCCGCCTGCACC